GATACTCATCATAGTTTGTAACATTGCCTGTATAGATTATGTTATTACTGGGCCAATGATCATAATCACTAAGATGATGATCATATAATGTCTGGGTTGTATGTAGTACAGTAGATTGTGTGTCTGCAGTGTATTGATTTGTGTTTGGGATACTCAGACAGGTGAGTCAAGTTCTGCATTGTAGTATGCTGTGTGTGTACATGTGATGTGTAGAACTGCATAGAGCATAGATGTAGTAGAGTGTAGATAAAGTGTAGGCAGGGAGCTCAAGGCTCATAACCTGTTAAGAAAGGGGAAAGAGAGGTTATGTGAGAGGCTTAGAGGGATCACACAAAGAGGGGGGATAGTGGACTCGGCTTGCTCTCTCGCAGCTTGCTTCATTGTCTGTTGATTAGTTAGTCTATATATACTATGTAGGTATGTCTCAGATGTAGAATGTATGATGGAAGGTATTCCATCATCGTTTGTCATTGCTTGTAATGTAGTTTATATCATCTGAGACATACTCTCGTGTAGTCTCATCTTAACAGTTCCCTTCAGACTGATGATTTAGACACAGTTTTTAGTATTTTTCTCGTCAGAAAGCCTTACAGGAAGTCATCCAATGTTTGCTTTCTCACTGAAACTCAGATAAAATGATCCGTCAGCTTCGTTCCTTGTAAATCTGATCCGAATTTCCTACTCACTTAAAGGGGCAGTAAAATCTGCACCACCATGTGCATGCATTTGCACACATTTCTATCTGAAGATGGTTCAAGACAATCGGGATAACATGTGATGATAGGGTGAATCTGTAATAAATGTTGCCCAACACTAACAGCAGCCAAGACCTGATGCTAATGATAATGATTATTTGCTTCCATTCTCCTTACATCCTCAACACACAGTAACATTGATAAATCACACACAGCTCACAAAGTCCTTTGTGCAGCACATCAATCCAGGGATGAAGGCTGTAAAGAGAGTGGGCTTTCCATAAGCCCCTATTATGAGTTACCTTGCTACGAATTCGAGCACATGTAACAATTCAGTGTTTTGATGTGTAGACCTCATGCAAAATGAATCAACCAATCAGTGCTTTGGAAACCTAACTGTCTTCATTAATAACATGTCAACTGCAGAGGCAAGGACAAGTGATAGTTGTGTA